CTCCCTCCCTCCCTCCCTTCCTTCCTTCCTTTTTCTTTCTTTTCTTTTGTAATGTTTGCATATACATAGTGAGATATCTTGGGAATGGGACCCAAGTCTAAACATGAAATTTACTTATGTTCATATGCACTTCCTGATCATAGCCTGAAGGTAATTGTATGCAAATTTTTAGTACACATGTGTTTTGACTGTGACCTGTCATCTAAAGTCAGGAGTAGAATTTTTCTCATGGTATCAAAACAGTGCTCAAAAAGTCTTGGATTTTGGAATTGGGAGTTAGGAATGCTCTCTCTCCTCTCCTCTCTCTCTCTCTCTCTCTCTCTCTCTCTCTATATATATATATATATATATATATGTGTGTGTGTGTGTGTGTGTGTGTGTGTGTGTGTGTGTACACATTATATATTATATAAATTAGTGGCAGAGCATTTAATATGGTGGGATCTCCAGGCCTGGATGGTCAGGGAAGATATCAAGGGGAGGGCTTGAGTATCAGAGTAGATGAGCAACCCAGGTGAACAGAGAGGAGCCTGGTCCCCACACACCTAAGACAATGTTAGCTGTCTCTTGAGTACATTCTCCTTACCAGCTCCTGGACATACATTGTTTCATGATGACCATGTAAGATAGTTGTATGTCATATCCATTTTACTGAGGAAGAAGCTGAGGCTCATGGGATTTGATATCAAGGCCACAGCTAGTAATAAGTGGGTGAATCGGGGTTCAAGGGCAGGTTGGTTGACTCCAGGCTGTTCCTTTTCCATTACAGTGTGCTGCTGCTTCTCACTGAGGAGGCCCAGGCTCCCACCTACTCTTTAGCCCTGTAGGCTTGGGGACACAGGATAAGTTCACACATCCAGCCATCCTTAATCCTAATGTTTCTCAATGGAGGGTCCCTGGACACACAGCAGCAGCATCACCTGCTATGAGACTGAACCCTAAGCATCTGCAATCTAAAAAGAAAGAACTGGGGGAATCCAACCCTGGGAAAGATCATTCCAGCAGCCTCTTATCTGATCAAAGAGTTCGAATATTGACAGCAACATTTGATGATGTCAGTGAGCCCTGGTAGTAGTGCAGTGTATTGATTTCATAAAGGTAACCCTTCAGTCTTGGGAACATTATGGTGTTTTCCTTTTAGCAAATTTTAAAACTAGGCCAATTCTAGACAAAGCAAAGTTCTAAGCATTTTCCCAGAAACCTCAAGATGTAAACCTTATGGAAACTATAGGGTTTGCCCAAAAGGAATTCTGACCTTTGGCACCTTTCTTGTTCGATTATTGACAGGAAGAAGTGATTGGAGATTTGAAACCAGGAACTGAATATCGAGTGAGCGTAGCAGCTTACAGCCAGACTGGAAAAGGGCGGCTCAGCCCCCCTCAGCACGTTACCACGTTGTCCCAAGGTAAAGCAGGTTCAAATTCATTCATAACAGGAATGTGTTGGGCTGCTAGTCATTCGTGCCTTCCTTCAGCAAATCCAATAGGGACTCTCTGTGGGCCCGACACTCTGATGGGCTCTGGGAATTCAGCAGTGCCCCCAACACCAGCACAGACCTCTTAGAACTCAGTGGGGTGAATCTACCTAATGAGTGTGTCCTCACAGGCTGTGAGAACAACACAGGGATGAGAGGAGGGATCCATGAAAAGACGATGGCTAAATGGAGAACTGCTGGGCTGATAGGAAACAAGGAGGAGAGGAAGGGAAGTGAGAGAGACTTATGTATAGGCAAAGAGAATCCAAACAATGGCCACTCAGGTGGCACTGAGGTGGATACTGGGGTACAAAAGCAGGTTGATTGCACTCACTGCTCAGAAGGTGCTCTTGGTAGGGAGAAGGAAATGGTAGCAGGTGGCACCAATGCTTCCCCAGCCAGAGTTACAGAAGTGCTTACGTAGGAAGGTGGGAAAACTCTTCAGGACCCAGGCAATACATGAGAGGTATGAAAAGCTGGAACCCACCATGACCTGGAGGGGAGGATCACCTTTACACAAGAGGAAGGCATTTCCCAAATGCCCTTCCATTGCTTTGTGTCTTCTTATCAGCAGAGGAAACACACACACACACACACACACACCACATGAATTGGAAAGTAATTTGCAGTAATGGTAAGCATTGAGTTTTCCTGAAGATAAATATCAACTCCAAAATGCAAACAGAGATGACAGTCCATCAGGAGGTGGAAGTACATACCCCGCATGTCCTTGGGTCAGCAGAACCTAATATGGTCAGCTTTCTATCCAGATGTGCTGGGAAGAGAAAGGAAGATCAGCTCTCATGACTCAGACCTTATGTGCTGAGCACAGTTGTGATTTGTCAGTGTGTGTTTGTTTTGGATTTTGAGGTTGTTGTGACCAGAGATGTTTTGGTCCTGGGAAGCACATTTTTTTTAAAAAAATGTATCCAACCTCTCTAGAGCTGATACAATCAGCCTCGTGTTTGTTGTCCTGCCTAGATTCCTGCCGGCCTCCGGCGGCACCCCAGCAGCCACGTGCCCTTGTGGTTTCTGATTCGGAGGTGGCCCTATCTTGGAAACCTGGACAGAGTGAAGGACGCTCCCCTATTCAGTACTATTCCGTGGAATTCATCAGGTAAGTCTGTGTGGTATCTCTAGACCTCAGCTGCTCTGAGAGTGATGTAAGGGTACCAGGAAGGGTGGTCATCTGTAAGTCTTCACTACATGGACATTGTGAGAGCACACAGGCTTGGAAGGGCATACTTACGTTCTGACCAGTGCCTATGTCCACACTGCTCTGGTGAGGGGTCATCTGGTCAACCTGTCCCCACTCACCTATCTCTTCTCTATTTCCCTTCCTCAGTCAGACAGAGTTCTGAGCTCTGAAAACTCTCGGGGCACCATTACCAACTAGCCTGCCTGCATTTCAAGCTTGAAACTAGCCCTTCTGGTTTTGAAACATATCTTTGAAGTAAATATTTGATGATGACTTTTCTCGGGGGAGGGGGAAAGCTCTTCAGAAACAAATACAATGCATGGTTTCCTCTGCACCCATATTGCCGTGGGGCAAGTTTCTTGGTTTGATTTCAGCTTTTTTTTTTTTCCTATAGTCTACTTCTGCAGTTATTTTTATTCAGCTTGTTAGAGGGAAGATGAGTGATTAAAAGTTAGAATTAAAAGTTCCTTAGTCATAAAAACATTCTCAGTGCAGCTATGTAATTGTATGGAAGGAAGAGAGAAAGGGAGAAAGGAAGGAAGAATTAACAGTCTAGGGTCTTTCCTCTGAACTCTGGTTGCAGTTTGATGTTGAACTGAAGCAGTGGCTGATCAATGGGTCTGAAAACAACGTGTGTGGAGTTTGCATTCTTTGCATTAAAGATGATGGAGCTCACAGGAGGCTTGCTGCTTTATGGATTCATAAAGAGACTGGTGCAGCACCTCATTCCTAAGGCTCTCTGAAGCTGGGAGGAAGGATCCTGCCCTAATCTGATTAGCTATGCTTCCTTTTCTTGACCTCCTAGCCCATTTCTTGGTGGTGAAAAACAGACATTGTTTTTTCTTTTTTTTTTCAGAGAAGTGTTATACCAAGTCTCTTGAATGCTTGAATATGGAGCTTGTTTCAGACAGGACTTGATGAATTTTAAGTGGCAGAAACTTGAAAGGAGAAGATGGAACAATAATGTACTGGCTCCTCCTGACTATAAAGTCCAGTGGCAGATATAAAATCAGGGGACTCTAGAGTTGGGTCACCTCACCAGTCTGTGTCCATCTCTCTGCTTTATTGATTTGTTTTCAGGCAGGCTTTTCCAATAGGTGGCAAGAAAGCCATCAGACACACAAAACTAGTCTAGTTCACTACTGAAAAGAAAGTGGCTATTTATCCATGCACCAGCAAAAAAATCCTGACGTTCATTCTAATCTGTCAGCCTTAGGTCCCATTCCATTCTCTGAGCCAACCACTGTGGTCAGGATGGGAAGAATCCACAGATTGACCAAACACTGATTTTACTGTAAATATGGCATAAACCTAAAGTTTATTGATTGAGTATTCAAGAAGGTTGAATCCTCAAAGGAAATTGTGGTGCAGTTTCTGGAATTGGGGCAAATAACACTAGGAATTAGTAAAAGAAAGAAAGTCAGTAAAGAAGGAAAGAAAGAAAGATGTCCATTTCAAAGCCCAAACCAGGGCTGATCCTTAAGGACAATCCACAAGTCTGCTTTTGATCTAATTTGGCAAGCAAAGCCAAGAATATGCCTAGAACAGGGAAGATTCTAATCTGGTTTCCAATACTAGTTAAATATGCAACATTGAAAGTTTTTCATCCATAAAACTTGGAGCAAAACCTAACATTTATAATTTAGTTACACAAGTAAATTAGACAACACCAACAGAACAAATTGTAATCCATTAAAATTTAGAAAAATGCTAAGTGTTTTAATCATAGCCTGGCAATTCATCTGAGTAACCCCAATAAAGATGATACTTATCACTTAGTCTTAATTTTGCACTCAAACATCTATTTTAAAACTTGCTCTATGTTTGGTACATTGATACAAGGTAGAAATGGCAGTTACCTAACCTTGCTCGTACATGGGAGAGTAGATCAAAGAGTCTTTGGCTTCAGAACCAGAAGAACTGGGAGAGAGTGTTGTGATCCTCCACTCTCCAAGACACATGGTCCTGGGGAAGTCACTTTCCCTCCTGAGCCTCAAAGCCTCTTTGTGGTGCCCTCCGAAGAAAGGGTGAAGCAAGAATGTAGTTGCAAATAGTTAATTTGGAAGCGAAAATGATAGAATGTGGAGAAAGAGACAGCAAAAGAGGACAGATAAGGGCTTGTTACTAAAGTCATTGTTCCAGGTAGCGAGGCCTTCACTGGGTCTTCTTTGCACTGAGATCTCTCTGGAGAATTCCTCTCAGATTTGCCATAAAAAGACAAGCAACATTTGCCCACTGACTTCTGTTGTTTGAGGGTTGCACCAGGAGGTAAAGCCTTTCCATACTTGTAGGCCATGTTGGGATCTGAATCACCGAACAGGATCCTGGGATACAAGGAGGAGTGACATAGGCCAGCAGGTGCTTGAGGGTGGACACGGGCTGATGGAGGAGAGTCTGAGATCTCACAAAACTGTTCACACCCCAACTGCTGCTGAAATCAGAAATGGGGTGTGGGAAGTGATAAGGGACCCACGGGCATCAACTAGGAACTCCTATCTGCAAAACATGGGCAATAACTTCTTCCTGTCTCTAGCGTGTAACGATTAGGAGGATCAAGTGAAGTCACATATGAGAAAGAGATTGGAGGCATCACGAACCTGCAAGAGTGTAAGGCGTGTGGGAGTGTTATAGATCTGTACTTAATAATTACAGTTCCCTCCAACAAAAATACATTTGAACATTCAGAACTACTCCTAACATCTGAGGAGCTCAAGGCTCAAACTCTTGTCCATATCTTTATGTCATTCTTACGAACTGTTAATTCTTTGACGTCTATTTGCCTTAACAAAATACCTTCACAGTGTTCTGGAAGCTAACTCCAAATTTGGAATTCTTGGATTCTTCAGTGTTCCAGATGGAGAAAGCCCGGTCCTGGTTATAGCTCCTGTACTAGGAATTCTGTTTCTATTTTTTTTTTTTTCAGCACACATCGATTCAATCAAGTTATTGTATCTCAGGACCTCCATTTTCTCATCTACAATATCAGGCAAATTCAACTCTTTTGTAGTAATTACTCATAGGCTTTGTAAAGATTTTACACTGTAGACACTCTATACCTGTCTGTTTCCTTCCTACCAAACCCTCATTTCCCTTTTACAAAAGAGAAAACTAAGACTTAATTGCTTAACTTTCTTTACTATAGTGAAATAGCTGGTAAGGGACAGAATTAAAAGTAGAACTGAATTTTCCAGACCTCAGCCCAGTGTTCTATTTAATGAAGCCCCTGGGTAACTTGGTGTCTGTGACCCTCCTTCAGAGACCAAAGCAGGGACTCAGCCTGCTCAGAGCCTGGCTGGAGGAGGGAGCGGGAAGCCCCTTCAATCTCTGTCTGCGGTTGTTTCTGAAAGAAGCCTTCAGAGCTTGTTGCAGCATTTAATGTTGGGCTGCAAAATAAATCCATTTGTAGACATCTCAGGGATTATCCCATACAGGTAAGCGCCTGAGGATTCGTGTTTGGAGACAGCTTTCCTGGCTGTCAATCAGAAACTGCTGTTGGTGTGTGCCATGGTCTGAATGCTTGTGCTTTCAGAGGCAGGGCCTTTGTGGGTGATTAGACCACAAGGGCAGGGCCCTGAGGAATGGGATTAGTGCACTCATCCGGAGGCCTGAGAGAGCTCCCTACTCCTTCCACCATGTGAGACACTGAAAAATTGCCAGCTATGAACCAGAATGCAGGCCTCACCAGAAAATGAATCTGCTAGCCCACGTTCTTGAACTTCTCAGCCCCCAGAACTGGAAGACATATCTGTTAGCTATAAGTTACTATGTTCATGGTACAGTCATCTCTTGATATCCAAGGAGATATGTACATAATACAATATAAGTGCTTAGTAAACAGCTGCTGTACTACATCGTTTAGGGACTGGTGACATGGAAAAATTCCATACATGTTCAGTATAAGTATTTTTTTCCCAAATATTATAGATCCTCATTAGTTGAATTCATTGACTTGGAATCAACTGATATACAAGACTGACTACTATACTTTTATTTTCTTTCCTTCTTCTTCTTCTTTTTTTTTTTTTATCAGGCTGGGGATAAAACCCAGGTCCTCATATATGCTAGACAAGTGCTCTACCACCGTGATCTGCCACCATCTCTGATTATATTTTTTTAATACCAGTTCAAATGGACTACAAAAGTCTTTAGTTATTCTTTTTTTCCCTAGAAAAGTGTCATGTTTCATGATGAATTCCTTTGCCTGTATATCTCCTGTGTACAGAAGCACATGTAACACCTCTGTGTGAGACAAAAATTTCTTGTTGTACTTAAGATGCAGGCCTTTTGCAAACCAAGTCTAGGAAATTGTAGAAACTGGTTTATCCTCAGAGGTTATCCTCTGATTTCAACATCCTAATGGGAAGTTCTACCTAAGTTTAGTCACTGGAAAATCAGGCGTCAGTCTTCACTCTGGCTTGGTGGCACTTATACATCAGTTTGCTCTTCTTACTTGCCATTCACTGGGGATAAGCAATATTAAAGGTATTGCTACAGGATATTCTAACAAAAGTTTTTAAAATAGTTAACTGACTAATAAAAGATGAACCTGAGAAATAACACTAGATCATAATCTGGGGGTTCGGTTCTTTATTTGCTAGTTATTATGACGTTTCAGATAGACTTTGTTTATGATGATCACTTGAATCATGGCCCTAGGACTAAGCAAGTTTTTGCTCCTCACCCAGCTTCTACCTCCCCCAAGACAGGACACCTCTGGCATGAACACCCAGGAGTTATGTTCTCAGCAACTGCATCAGAGAGTATCATGGTCTTTGGATCAGGCAGGATGAACACTTTTAAATGGGCACAATCTTCACAGTCTCCCTCAAAATTGGATTGGGAATGATTCATTAGATTCCCTGTTAACTGCAAATTTTTAGTTTTTTGAACGGTAGAAAAAAAGATATGATCAGGCAAAT